GGGGCGGATTTAGGGGGGGGGGGAATACACATCTATAAATGACGTGAGAGGCCCGGAAAAAGAAAAAAAGAAAGAAAAAGAAGAAAATGATAGCCCACAACGCCTCAAATGTTATTTTCGGGCGTCTAGAACACAAAATTTCGCTTGGGCATGCCCCCGGACCCCCTAGGTCATTGTTGTCTCGATCGGCCCAAATTTCGGCCCCCCTTTCGCCCCCCCTTTTTTTGGACATCTCTGGATCCGCCCCTGCCTTTGGATTGGATATGTAGGGTTGACCTCCCTGAATTAAAACTGATTTCCATCCACACATACCGTTAAAGTGTGAAAAATGTTTTGTTGTTGTGGTGGGGGTTGTCATATTATTGTACATTATTATTGCACCTGGTGGTAGTTGGTGGCTATTTCACATATTAATTAAGCCGTCATACCATGGAGGAATTAGATTTGAAGTAATCCCTCCATGGTCATACACAGTAATATTCCTGGACAAATAATAAAACACGGGCCTCTTTGGTTTTTTTTTTTTTTTTTTTTTTTTTCTTCTTATTATTATTATTATTATTATTATTATTATTATTATTATTATTATTATTATTATTATTATTATTATGCTATTTTTATTATTTTTACTATTAATGACGCGTTTGTTTTAATCTATATGTTATAAACAAATAACCACAAGGAGGGGTTATGCAGTATAGTTCAAATTATTGCTCCTAAAACCATCCCTTCAGACTGTGGTGTAACGGCTATAGGCGGGCTCTCACTAGCTAAACCATGATATTAAACCATAAGCAAAAGCGACGCATATGAGTATGATACATAGGCCTATGTTTATACTTGGGCCTACGTTTTTGACCATACATATTTATTGATTTTAATTTGCTTGTTTTGTTTGGTATTTATTGTAATATATTTATTAGTGATATTTTATTTAAAATTAAGTACGGTACTGTATGCTTTTTTTTAGGTCAAATCACGATACATAAACTTAGAATTCGAATGTGTAAAAAGTCATTATTTAAAAACGCCAGACCCCCACCGGGGGCCCTTTGCGATCCCCAGCCCCAGTGCCTTGGGCTCCCCAGAGGTCCCTGCCCAGGGCCCCCTGCCCCTTCATTACACCACTGCATATTTTCATTGCAAATGTAAACAATTTTGTGTGTTATTTGATATAAAAGAAGAAGGAGTATACATTTTTAATGGTATATATGTACTTGGTTTACAATGAAAGTAACAAGGGTTTTGCATGTCTTTTTTAAAAGTCAGAATTCGGGCGCACCATTAAATTATCCGGAGGGCTAATGACCACACCGATAATTGCAGCCGAGTGTCTGCCCAGTTGATCGATGGCCTACATTCCGTTGACTTGTTTTGGTTAAACTGCATGTTTTATACCAGACGGGAGCGTGGCTTTGGGCCTAATGTTATGTTGTGTTATTGGGCAGGCGACACTATGGTAGGGACCACCACTGGGTTAGGTTGATGGTATTTAACTACCCTGGATTAATCGGATTAATCATTTGTCATTTGATTAAGATTCAGATGTTTTTCTTGTAAAATATCCATTTAGGCCTTAATAATAGTGTGTTCGAGAAATATTTGTATTCTAGACGCCCGGATCCTCTGAGGCACTTTTGGCGATCAATAATTTTCTTCTCTTTTAATTTTTTCTTTTATTTAACGCCCCCTCTCCCCCAGTAAATCCTCCCATGCACACCTACATTTCCATAACGAATAATCCTGTAAGGTATTGCTATAGATTGCTCTGGTAAAGACAACTCTGGGGGTAAGAATGGCTCATGCAACGGCAGGTATAAATGACCCAATGTGCAAATATTGTTAAAGATGTCTCGTCGCAGGTGAAAGTAAGGATGCAAATGAAAAATTAGCTATTTAATTAATTGATGATTACACAATGAAATTACAAAATAGTTTCATTGACTCCCTGAAAAATTTCAACTTTAAAGCCTAGCCCTTCCTCTGAGCAGTCAATATAGGCCTATATGAAAACCTTTTACCATTCCTACCCAGTTGCCCTATTGTTGTTCTTACAATCGTTTAGAATACTTTGTATAATATATATTTGTATGTTTCATCGAATGCATTTCTATTAATTAAAAAATAACATATCTTAATGCTTGCGGTACACTAAAATATAACACCCATCTTATTTTTAAAGCCAGCCAAGTTTTAATTAATTAGTAGTAGTACTAAAGCGCAGGCGTTATAAAAAAAATAAAATTTAATAGAAAACAAAATACGACTGCAATGTTTTAAGAATTCCATGGTTCTATCAAGGTCCAACAATCATTAAATCAATCATATTGAATCCACATTTGATACAGTGGCACTCATACAAACTGTATGGTGCATCCATGAGACATACACAAATATAGGAAAATACTGTAAAATTGCCTTTAAATTTCAAAATAATAAGTAAATCAAAATACTCGAGGTACAGTATTGAAAACAATATAAACTTTAGCTTTAACTATACTGAATTTTGAACAATTTGTTTAAACAGAAGTCTGAAGAATCTGGTTCCAAAAATCCACCATACATATTTTACACAATGGAGGAATTAGCAAAATTCCTTCAGGATTACATGAAGTTTATACATGCATACATAAAATAATAATTATTTATTCGGAAACTACACTTTTGAGACAGTGACACACTTCACATGAGAAAAACGGCAAAAAAAAAAAAAACTTCAAACAGAATACAGTACACTAAAGAAAAGTTTTAAAAGAAAGAAAGAAGGAAAGAAAAATGATTCTGTGAATGGGATTCTATACGAATCCACACGTGGTTATCATCCTGGGATTAGGATCACAGAGCAAGGAGCAGTAGAACTTCAAGTAAGAACGTTGTTTTATTGCTTAATCGTTTACAGCTCTGCTGAGGTATGATAATCCGGTCGTCTGGGGAAGGCTGTCGCCAGGGTGAGTGATGTTAATGTTAATTGTTTTGCCATTGCTACAGTTACGCCTACCAGGGTGATGTAATACGTACTGTTTTCATAATTAAAAGACTCATACGCACTTCTTAATGGAAGCGGCGCCCTGAACAATCGATTGAAAGGAAATAAACATAGCAAAGGGATACAGAACAGATTAATACTAATAATATTTAATTTATACCTCCATGGGCTTAAACTAAATATAAGGTCCACTGTCGAAAAATCTAAAAAATAGCAAAGACATCAGTATGTACAAGTATATCATAATATTTTCAACTTATGAAAGACAGACAAATAAAAACAATTTGGTTTTTGCTGAATTTAAACTGAGCAATACTTACCGTATATATGCAGTGACCTAACGACGAATGCGCCATCAATATACCGGGGACGGCGAACGGCGTGTATCAGCGGAGTATTTTCGCCCAGGAAGTGGCCGAGATGTGGTATGATCTCCGGTGGCCTAAAATAATTATACATTTGTTTAGCTTTAAGTTGTTGTTTTACTCTTTGTTCATAAGTTCTTTCATTTGTTTAGCTTTAAGTTGTTGTTTTTACTATTTGTTCATTAGTTTAAGTTTGACTGCGCCACTTTCTTGTGTGCTGCCACTGATGTAAAAGTGTAATGTCAATAAATATTATTATTATAATGGAAGCGGCGCCCTGAACAATCGATTGAAAGGAAATAAACATAGCAAAGGGATACAGAACAGATTAATACTAATAATATTTAATTTATACCTCCATGGGCTTAAACTAAATATAAGGTCCACTGTCGAAAAATCTAAAAAATAGCAAAGACATCAGTATGTACAAGTATATCATAATATTTTCAACTTATGAAAGACAGACAAATAAAAACAATTTGGTTTTTGCTGAATTTAAACTGAGCAATACTTACGGTACCGTATATATGCAGTGACCTAACGACGAATGCGCCATCAATATACCGGGGACGGCGAACGGCGTGTATCAGCGGAGTATTTTCGCCCAGGAAGTGGCCGAGATGTGGTATGATCTCCGGTGGCCTAAAATAATTATATAATAGGAATGTTCAGACTTAAAAGATAGCACTTTAATAAATGTAATTGTCATTTATGAAATATTGTGCTATTATAGACATTGCGCTTTCTTACAATAATTTTAATTAAATGTTTCCAAATATCGATATTTTTAATTGTAATATTTCTACCTTTAATCAATCTTCAATATTTAATATGTGAAAATTAATTTTTATGCTATTTTATGTATTTTTTAATCTTTAAATATATATTTTTTTATATCGTATTGTATTTTATGGCGACCCTGTTTTTGTGTTTGACACACTGTTGGGTCTTGAATAATTAAATTTAAAAAAAATAAAATTAACCATAATCAACTCATATTGCTGGGTAGAAGTGACTCTGTCGTGGCCCTTCTTTGCCCATGGGACCGGCTCGAGCTTTTTTGGTGGCTCTAAAAGCCTACCAGTAGGAGGAGCTCCGGGGTCCCGGGCATCCCTCCCAGAGCTCACGGGGGATAACGCTCGTGAGAATAATTTAACATTCTTTAATTTTAAATTGAAAACTAAAAATAAACTTTTTACTGGTTCTTATAAAAAAAAAAAAGGTATACATGCACAAGATTAAGAAATTCTTTTTTTTAGAAGATTTATGTGGCATGCAGTAGTATATTTATTAATTTTACTCTTTTATGAGAGCATTTACTCAAATCAGGTTTTTTTTTTAAAGATAATATTCATATTTATGTTATAAGCCTACTTATTAATTTTGTTTATAATGTTTAATCACTAGGCCTACTGTTATATCAATAATATACAGGCCGGAGAGCCAGAGTGTTTTTTCACACTATAGTTAAACCTAGCCAACTCAGATTATTTATTGTCTCAAGTATTTGTTTTTATTTGTTTTTTATTCACTTGTTTATGTTACTGGCTGAATAAAGAATAATGAATGAATTCTTTAATAAAGTTTAAAGTACTGTACAGTATTTAACAACGGCGCGCGCCCTCTACAGGTTTTGGTTTCCACAGTAACATTGTAAACAATAATAGCATGAATCTGGCTGGTGAAAAACTAAATAAAATTAATGTAACAAAGATACTGCTGTATTTGTAATGAAATAACCATTTCTAGGTGAACGTACAGTAGCCTTAATGGCACCAAAATGCAACCAAGAGCCCGTTTGTTTGACATGGAGTTATAGTGACGTGTCTTCATGGATTGAAGGATTAGGATTCCCAGAATATGCTGTGCGTAGGCCTAACACAACAGAGTAACATTGTTTTGATTGGGTGTGTTTGTGTGAGTGTGTGAGGCTCAGGCCTACCTAGGCCTTATGCCTTAGTTGATGAGCATGAATTAAAGTAAGGTCGAGCCTTCAATTCAACAATGAAGTTTTAAAATATTTATTAAAGAATAATGGGGAACTAGGCCTAGGCTATACCTAAGCTAGAGAAGGAGAAGGATCCCAACCTGTGTTGAAATCGTTTTTTGTAAAGATAGCATAGGATTAAGAACAAGGATACCTAGACCTAGCTAGGCCATTTGGTACAAAATGTCTTATGCTGTATTTTGTCATGTCATGCATGGTCTTTCCAGTGAGGTAATTGATATGATACAATGGTGGTACAGTACAGTATAAATAACAATATTCTAGTAACTAAGTAGGGTATTACCACCATGATGATAAACCCCTGGATGAACAACACTACCTCCCATGAACAAGTCAATGTGTGGCTGAACAGGAAATTGCTATGGTACCTCCCATGGGCCTGTCATGACTGAAATTCTAACTGCTACGCTCAGTGGCATATCTAGGGGTATGCGGGGAGGGGTATGAGAAAGCTCACTCCTCCGCTAGTCGCTCTACCATTGAAAATGTTTGAGGGGAAAAAAATCATGCTCACGTAGTTAAAAATCACTTCACACCACCTTATTTTGCAAACTAGCATCCCCTCACTTAATAATTGAGCCCCCATTTCACCTACGCATCCCCATCATCACCCCCATTTATGGACTCCTAAGGGGATGAAAAAATAGACCCATCATACAGTAAACTAGGCCTAATAACAGCTTCATGTATTATGTTTTCTTTTACCACAATCACAGGCTTGTTTTGAGACAAATTTGATTAATGGACGGAAGTTGATCCTCATGGATGCATCGAACTTGCCAAAAATTGGTATCACAGACTTTGAACACATCAAGGTAAGGTTCACTAAATTCATCTTGTGTAAACCAGCAGAATTTATTGACAGGTTGTGGAAACCAGGGTAGGCCTACAGTGCAGGGGCAGATCCAGAGATGTCCAAAAGGGGGGGGGGGCGAAATTTGGGCCGATTGAAGAAACACTGAAATAGGGGGTCCAGGGGCATGTCCCCATGAAATTTCTGTGTTTTAGACGCCCGAAAATGACATTTGAGGCGTTCTGGGCTATCGTTTTTTCTTTTTCTTTCTTTTTTTATTTTTTTTTACCCCATAAATCTGCCCCTGCAGTGCTCTAAAAAGAAGAAAAGAAAAGCAACTTACCTGCCAAGAAGTGACCTGCAAAGTCACACAAAAAGATGTTTGCTGTCACGCATGTATTTGTAAAATGTAATTAAAACTCACGCATTTCTTTACTGCATAAGCCCATGCATACAGGATCCGAGTAGAATATACTCTGAGTGTATTGTACAAAATTAATTTAATAAGGGCAAATTGAAAAATTTATTAGATTATCACTCCCGCCCGCATCAAAAATTTGGAAAATATTGATGCGGGAATAAATTCATCAATTATTTCAACAGCATAAAAATAACAATGCAATTTCGTGACTTCAAATACATTTTCTTTAAAAAAGTATAAAATTAAACCAGTTTTTATAAAATATTTACTATTACAGACCAAATATAAACAGTCCCTCCCTCATCGATAAAAACTAAAGCGAAATAATCTATGGTGTGTCTGAGGTAGTGTGGACTTCCCAATGTAAGTGTCCAGCATAAAAGGTTATTGTTGAATGTAAACAGTGTAGTAATGGGATGGTTAAATGCTTCATATTACTGTATTAGGATTTAGGAAGAAATACACATTTTTTTTTTTTTGTGATTTCAGTGGTGCGGCAGGCGTAATAAAAATAAAGAAAAACTTTTACTTTCTTCTGAGATTTCCATTATTTGGGCAGTGGGTGTGCTAATAGACCAAAAATGTGTTAAATGTTGCACATTACAAATAATTTTAAATTGTTATAATCCCATACAGTATTTTACAATATTTTATTAAATTTAGATATTATTACTATTTTTATTGTCACTACTGTATTATTATCGTATAATTTGGAATTGCCCCATCAGATATAAGTAAAGGTGTAAATTGGATTGTGTTATTATTTATTATCCTGGTCTGTATCCTCTTAAAATATTCTCAAAAAGCATTATGGTTTTAATAGATTATTAATAATAAATAATACAATTAGCAATCAAGATACATAATAATATAGCATTGATAAACCTCTGTTTTTCTTTCAGTTCATAGCAAAGAGTGTTCGTGATATTCTCGAGATAGAGCAACCTTACTGGAACCGGAGCATATCACTGGAGCCTAGGGAACGTATGGGAATGTTCCTGGAGAGAAAGAGAATAACAGGCCCAATTGCCAATAACCTCACCTATGCCAAGTATATAAAAGAAGTTGAACGAATAGAGCGTGAAAAAGCAAGAAAGAAATAATGTTATAATAGATGTTAATTTAGAGATATATATATATTTTGAAGAAATGATAAAATTGAGACCAAAAATTTTTTTGCAGAAAATTTGTGGTTGAACCATGTCGTGGAATGGTGCGGGGTTGTGTTTTCCTATGATTTGTGTATCTACACAATGACATTAATAATAATAATTATAATACTTTTATAAAGCTCCTAATGCAAAAAATAGCCTCAAAGCACTGATTAATTCTCAAATCAATCATGTTGTGAAAGTAATTAACTCAATAAAAATCATGCACACTGGTTAAGTCAGCAATAGATTTTTATTATTTTTTAAACTTGGTGTTGACATAATTTTTTTTTATTCTGTCTGTTTTTGTACCATTGTATCTATCCAGATTTATTAAATGTACTGTACAGGAATTGGTTATTGTCATTACTGTAGATCTATCTGAATGGTGGGCACCTGTGGTGGCGCCAGAATCAGCCCGACAGAGGTTTTGATGTCCCCGACGAAAATGTAAATGTAATGTAGTGGTATTTGGTATAGCGCATTATACCGAAGTCTCAATGCGCTGGAAAAACAAAAACAAAAGGCAACTCCTATTGTAACCAAACTACAGATGCAGAGAAACAGACTGAGCAGAAGAACCAAACATCACTGCATCGTTCGCCTGC